CTAAGTGAGGGAGGAGCATGGCTGACAGTCATTGCAGCACAGAAGAACTTTTTTGATGGGTCTTTGTCAGAGGCAGTGTGGATGAGACAGTGGTTAGGGGAGTGAGGGAAAGGACTCCAGATGCTGTTCAGGTATTGGGCTCCGAGGAAGCTTTCGATGGTGAAACTGGTGCTGGGACAGGCACCTGGAAGGAGGAAGAATACACCATGAGGGGCCCTTCATTTCTCTAGGGGACAGTTCACAACCAGGACCAGGGTCTCACTCAGATTATGGCTAAAGCAACCAATACTTCCAGATGAAATCTCTGCCTTTCAGGAGTGGAAATTGTTCCAACTACATTTATTGTAGCTCCTGACATATTTGGCCTGTGTGTGTGTGTGTGTGTGTGTGTGTGTGTGTGTGTACACATCATGTTCCAAGTGGATGCTGCTGACCCTGACCCTGGAGAGCATGCCAAAAATTCCTGGGTAGGCAAGTGCTCTTGACCTTGTTCTTGCTTCCCCGCTCCCCCGCTTTTGTTTTCTTTTCTTTTTGAGACAGGGTCTCTCACAATGACAGTCTGATCTGGATCCTCACCATGTAGGCAGGCCTTCAATTGTGGCTATTCTCCTTTCTCAGCCTCTTCAGCACTAGGAATATAGGTTTGGGCAACCATGCCTAGCTTTTAAAAACTAGTCAGTGTTCGCTGGGCATAATGGCTTATGCCTACAATGTCAACACTCTGGAAAGTAAAGGCAAGATGATTGTAGTTTGAGGCCAGCCTGGGTTACAAAATGAGTTAGTTGGTTAGGTTTTGCCGTCTTGACACAAACTAAAGTCACCTGGGAAGAAGGAACATCAACTGAGGAATTGCTTCCATCAGATTGACCTGTGGACATTTGATGGGGGATGTTCTTTTGCCTATATGTTTCTCTTATTGGCTGATGAATAAAATAATGATTGGCAGATAGCCAGGCAGGAAGTATAGGCAGGGCTACCAGACAAGGAGAATGCTGGGTAGAGAGGAAGCCAGGAAGAGATGCCATGTAGAGACCGGGAAGATAGGATGCTCCAGGTGTTCTCTGGTAAGATAAGGCTGTGTAGAAATACATAGTTCAGTACTTGTGGGTTAACAATTAAGAGAGAGCTAGCCAATAAGAAGCCCTAGCCATCAGCCAACAGTTTTATAGTTAATAAAGCATCTGTGTGCTTATTAGCGGGACCTGGTAGGACAGAAACCATCTACAGACATGTCTGTGTGGCATTTTCTTGATTAATGATTGATGTGGGATTGAGGGACTACCCCTGTGTAGGTGGTTCTGGGCTGTGTAAGAAAGGAAGGTGAGGAAGCCATGGGGAGCAAGCAAGCAAGCAAGCAAGCAGCATTCCTCCACGTTCTCTGCTTCAGTTCCTGCCTCAGTTCCCACATGACTTCCTCCAGAAAAAATGAACTATGACAGGGAAGTGCAAGTCAAATAAACCCCTTCTTCCCCAAGTTATTTTGGTCAGTGTTTTATCACAGCGACAGAAAGCCAACTAGGGCACATAGTGAGACACCATCTCAAAAAAATATATTTTTTTTTCTTTCCTTTTTTTTTTTCTTTCTAAATCAGCCAGTGTCTCTCACCTCCCATCCAGGTGACTGAGGGTTTTCATATGGTTTCCCTTCCCTGTGATTTCCAGATCTGTCTGATTTTCCCAGGTAAATGTTGCCTTTCCTGGATCCAGCCAGGGACTCCTTACCATCTCTGCCTCCCAGGGAGAGTGTGAGGACTCCGTCTGGGTCCAAGCATGGCGAAGGTGGCTACCCGGCTCAGCATCCAGGGATAGGGTATAGGAGAGATTTTCCTCAGAGCCTGTTTGTGATGTGATGGGTGGCAGAGACGGGACTATGCCAGGAAGAACTCTATGACCTCAAGCATGAACCCTGTGCTCTGGGCCCTCCTCCCAGGTCCCGTGCTCTAGGTCTTACCGCAGCTGGCAGGAGGTGGTGTGGCTGACACAGACGCTCCTGGGGGACCAGGGTCACCCTTCATCTCTGGCCTCTTCTTGCATTCCACTCTCACTTGACCCCTGCAGTGTTTGTGACAACACAGCCCACAGTCTGGGGGGGAAGGAGCCATTAAACACCTCGTTCTTCCAGCCTGCAGGAGGAGAGTCCCTCCCTCTCACTTACCCCGACAGCGGTAACCTTGTTTGGTGACGCCCCAGAGCTGAGGAAAGGAAGGAGAATTGGTTAGTTGGACTAGAGGAGAGAGCATGGGAGGGAGAGGATGGAAGCCAACAGGTTTTGCAATTTCCGAAAGATTCTGAGAATTAACCAAAATTATAGGAACTTGGAGATGATCTCAAACTTGGGGAATCATGTAGGATATTAAAACTGTTTAAACTTCTGAGTTAACAAAAAATGTACACTCTGTGGGTAGGGGCTATTTGAGTCGTTACAGTTGTCTCCAGACCCTGGAACTGCCTGGCTTATGGGCTGTGTCAAGTGCAGACCTAGCAGTAAATAAATGGTGAGATCTATGAAATAATCTTGATTTGATGGTTGAGATTTGTCCACTATCAAGAATCTGAAGCCAGGTGTGGTGACACAAACCTGTAATCCCAAGAGGCTGCGGCTAGACTGGGAGTTAGAGTCAAGCCTGAGCTACATAATCCATTTAAGCGAGACACACACACACACACACACAGAGAGAGAGAGAGAGAGAGACAGAGAGAGACAGAGACAGAGAGAGTTCTGAGGATTGAACCCAGGAACTCGCACGTGGCAAGCAAGCACTGTTTACCACTGAACCATATCCCTTGCCTTGTAAAATGAGTTTGAAGCCAGCCTGAGCTACATGGGAAGACCCTGTTTCAAAAAGCCAAAATTTGAGAGCAAACTAACAATAATAAAAGAGGTCTTTAATTTGGAAATGAAAGTGTTGAATGGTTCAGGGTATGAAGGTCAGAGAATGATTTTTGGGACCAGGTTTCTCTCTGTAGCCCTGGCTGACCTGGAGCTCCAAACGTAGACCAAGCTGGCCTCGAACTCAGAGATCTCCCTGCCTCTGCCTCTTAGATGCTGGCATTAAAGGGGCACCATCATACCAGCTAAAGGCTAGTGTTTAATTTTTGCTTTATTATTTGTTACACTGGTCTTTGAAAGATAGTTTAAGTTTTATTTTTTATTACTGCCTGGCATGTGTATCTGTGTGTCTATGTGGCTGTCACCTGTGTGTGTGGGCACACACATGCCACAGTGCATGTTATAACAGAGAAGGGCTTCATGGAGTCACTTCTACCTTTCTGGGTTGTGGGGTTACAACTTGGGTTTCTGGGCTGAGCTGCAAGCATCTTTGCCTGATGAGCTACCTTGCTGGCCTGTTTTAGTTTTTTGAGACAAGGTCTCACTCTGTTTGCATGTGAAGCTGGTCTAGAGCTCCCTTTAGAGCTCAGAGCTGGTTTCAAACTCATGGAAATCCTCCTGTCTCAGCCTCCTAAGTGCTGGAATTATAGGCATGGGCCATTAGCTCTAGCTATTACCACGATCTTTTTTTTTTTTTTAAAGAAGCATTTCTTTTATTTTAGGTATATGTTCGTATGCCACTTGTCTGTATTTGCAACACATGTATGTAGGTACCCTCAGAGGCAAAAAGAGGATGCTGGATCCCCTGTAACTAGAATCACATGCAATTGTGAGCTGCCCAAATCCAGTCCCTCAGCAAGGGCAGCCAAGTGATGTTACCTGATGTCTGCTGAAACATCTCTCCAGCTTTTTTTTTTTTTTTTCCCAAGACAGGGTGTCTGTGTATAGTCCTGGATGTCCTGGAACTTTGTAGCCCAGACTGGCCTCAAACTGAGAAAGCAGCCTGCCCCTGCCTCCTGAGTGCTGGGACTAAAGGCGTATGCCACCACACCCAGCTATGTTACTTTTTAAATTAATTTTTTAATTTAAATAAAAATTTACTGTTTTTTTTTTGTTTTGTTTTTTTGTTTTTTTTTTTTAGACAGGGTCTCACATAGCCCAGGCTGGCCTCAAACTCACTATGTAGCTGAGGATGGCCTTGCACTCCTGGATTCTGGCCCACTACCATGCT